AGCTTCCTTTCTTTTTATATTAAACATAAATCTAAACATGCATGTGCGCAAATCTACCCAAAAAAAACGAAAATATAAGTGTATTGGAAATCTCCGGCGCTAGAATCCAAAACCCCAATCGAAATTAGACCAGTTAAGTCAAAATCCCCTCCTCCCCCTCCCCTTCCCCCCTCTCCCTCTCCCTCTCTCCCCTCTCCACCCTTCTACCCTCTCCACCCCTCTCCCCTAACCCCGCTGTGAGACACCGCCAGGTATATATTGACACATGTAAATGGGCAGGATTTATCCTGGAGGTAAACAGCCCCAAGTGATTTTCGAGGAAAGTCTTAAGTGGTGAAACTCTGGCCGATGTTTATTATTTTGGCCCCGGGAAGAGAGATGTGCATCTGTGTTTACCCGAACGCACTTCTGACTGCGTGCGCATTCATGCGGATTCAATCTCCCGCTCCGGCTTAATTGAATGGCCTCTTATTTCACTCATTTTGTGTCTTGTTTATTCACAGTTGGAAGATTATTTTTGTGATATATTCTTTTGAGAGGCTTTGTGTCCTTAATGAGAAAATGGAGGTCTTTCTCTTCAGCTTGTCATCCGATGTTGAATTCTTCGCTCATATATATATATATTTTTAATTATTCTCTCTCTCTCTCTCTCTCTCTCTCTCTCTCTCTCTCTCTCTCTCTCTCTCTCTCTCTCTCTCTCTCTCTCTCTCTCTCTCTCTTTCTCTGTGATTATCAGAATACTTGTCATCCGATGTTGAATTCTTCGCTCCTATATTTTTTTTATTATTCTCTCTCTCTCTGTTTCTCTCTCTCTCTCTCTCTCTCTCTCTCTCTCTCTCTCTCTCTCTCTCTCTCTCTCTCTCTCTCTCTCTCTCTCTCTCTCTCTCTCTCTCTCTCTCTCTCTCTCCCTCTCTCCCTCTCTCTCTCTCTCTCTCTCTCTCTCTCTCTCTCTCTCTCTCTCTCTCTCTCTCTCTCTCTCTCTCTCTTCTCTCTCTCTCTCTCTCTCTCTCTCTCTCTCTCTCTCTCTCTCTCTCTCTCTCTCTCTCTCTCTCTCTCTCTATCTATCTATCTATCTCTCTCTCTCTCTCCCTCTCTCTCTCCCTCTCTCTCTCCCTCTCTCTCTCTCTCTCTATCTCTATCTATCTATCTATCCTGACTGTGTATCTGCCTCTGTCCCTATCTCCCCTCTCCCCTCCCCCTCTTTCCCCTTGTCTCACTCAAATTAGATAATATATGCTTCCAAATTAACTCATTAACTCCAGAAAAAAAATCAGAAGAATGAAAAGAAAGAAAGAAAGAAAGAAAAGAAAAGCCGACCCACTGCTAAAATTATAATCCTTAAACCAAAGAGAAAAAAACGAGAGTGACATGCAAAGAATTTTATCCACTTGGTGTCCCCAGCATTTGCTCTCCTCTTCTTCCCTCTTTCTCTTCCTCTCTCTCCTCCTCCCTCTTTCTCCTCTTCTTTTTCATTTCTCCTCCCTCTCCCTCTTCCTGTCTCTTTCTCCTCCTCCCTCTCTCTCTTCCTCCCTCTCCCTCCTCCTCCCTTTTTCTCCTCTTCTCTCTCTTTCCTCCTCCCTCTCTCTCCTCTTCATTCTCCTTCCTCCCCTCTCTAACCCTCCTCCTCCCTCTCTCTCCTCCTTCCTCTCCCTCCTCCTCTATCTTGCTCCTTCTCTCTCTATCCCTCCTCCTCCCTCCTTCTCCTCCTCTATCTCCCTCCTCCTCTATCTCCCTTCTCCTCTCTCTCCCTCCTCTTCCCTCTCCCTCTCGCTCTCTCGCTCTCTTTCTCTCCTTCCTCGTCTCCTCTTTCTCCCTCTTTCTTTCTCTTCCTTCTCCTTCCTTTTACTATTCCTCCCTCTCATCCTCCATCTCCCTACTCCTCCCTCTCCATCCTCCTTCCTCTCCCTCTTTATTCTTCTTCCTTCTCCTTCCATTTCCTATTCCTTCCTCTCCTCCTCCCTCTCCCTCTTCCTTCTCCTCCCTCCTCCTCTCTCTCCCTCCTCCTCCCTCTCCCTCTTCCTTCTCCTCCCTCCTCCTCTCTCTCACTCCTCCTCCCTCTCTCTCTTTCTCCCTTTACTTCTTCCTCCCTCTCCCTCCTCCTCCCTTTACCTCCTTCTCCCTCTTCCTCCATCTCCAACTCCATCCTTTTCCTCTCCCTCCTCCTCCCTTCCTTCCTCTTCCTTCTCCCTCTTCCTCCCTCTCCCTCCTCCTCCCATTCCATTCTCTTGCCTCTTCCTCCTCTTCCCTTTTTTCCTCTTCTTTCTCCTTCCCTTTCCTATTCCTTCCTCTCTTCTTCATTCCTTTTCCTTCCTCTCTTCTTCTCTTCCTTCCTTTCTTCTTTCTCTTCTAAACGCTTCTTCCCTCTCCCTCCTCTTCCCCCTAATTTTCCTATTTCCTTCCCCTCTCTCTAATTTCTGTATCGACTCCCTTTCATCCTTTCTCTTCCTACTCCCCCTGTCCCAATTCCCCTTCCTTAACGCCTTCCTCCTGCCCCCCCCATACTCCTACCCCACCCCTTCCCCTCACCTACTCCTTCCCCCCACCCCCCTCAATATCCCCTATCCCCCCCTCTTATTCCCTCCCCCCCCCTCATCCTCCACCCTTCCCCACCCCTACTCCTACCCAATCATCCTTCCCCCCTCCCCTTTCCTCACCGCTTACTCCTCCTTCCAAAACCCCCATTTTCCCCCCACCACCCCCCACCCCTTACTCCCCTACCACACTACTTACTCCCTCAAGTTCCTCAACCTCCCCCCCCCTTGCAACTCCCCAGAGGCACGAGGCTGGCACGCTGCAACACCTTGGCCACAATATACAATCAGTTCGCTGCTTCATAGCGCATTTTCGGCCCCGTGTGGTGTCTACAAGTATTTCGGGAGCTGGGGGAGGGGCGGGGAAGTGGCGAGGGGGAGGGGTGAGTGGGAGAGAGAGAGAGAGAGAGAGAGAGAGAGAGAGAGAGAGAGAGAGAGAGAGAGAGAGAGAGAGAGAGAGAGAGAGAGAGAGAGAGAGAGAGAGAGAGAGAGAGAGAGAGGGGGGGGGGGAGAGAGAGAGAGAGAGAGAGAGAGAGAGAGAGAGAGAGAGAGAGAGAGAGAGAGAGAGAGAGAGAGAGAGAGAGAGAGAGAGAGAGAGAGAGAGAGAATGACGGAGAGAGAGATTGAGAGAGAGAGAGAGAGAGAGAGAGAGAGAGAGAGAGAGAGAGAGAGAGAGAGAGAGAGAGAGAGAGAGAGAGAGAGAGAGAGAGAATTTATATATAGAATACGGTACCAAATATTTTTCTGCATTACTTTTTACAATAAAGCAATGTGACTAGCATCGTAAATCATTATCAACAGCACCATCACGTCCTCATTTTTGTCATCGAAACATCAACACAGAAAAAAAATATATAGATATATATAGTTATGAATACGATCTCTAAAAATAGCAATCAAATCAGTTTCAAAACAGCAGCCCACCACCTCTTTTTTTTTTCTCTTGCATTCGCGTTAATCACATTAAAACCTTTATTTTTTTCTAACGCTAAAACAGTGTTTCTTTCCCGACGTAACCGCATTTGATATTCATAGAGTGTGAAATCGCGTTGGTTCTCTCACTTACTTTATGCAAGAGGAGTATTTTGTTCTTGGGAGTGGGTTACTATCTGACATATGAGGCTATTTATATTATCCTGTGGTGTTTTCCTTTCGTTCTGGTATGTCTGTGTTTTCGTGTTTGCTCTGTGTGTTTGTCTGTCTATCTATCCGTCCGTGTGGATCGTATTTATCTTTTTTTGTCTGTATGTAGGCTATGTTTGTCTTTATTGCCTGTATGTCGGTTATGTTTGTCTTGCTTTCTGTCTGTGAGGGTTGTGTTTTTTCTCTTTTCTCTTGGTCTTTATTTCTGTCTGTATTTTTTTTGTTTATTGTTTGATTTCTTTTTTGTCTGTCTGAATAGTTCGTTTTTTTTCTTTCTGTCTATTTGGTTTGTGTCTGTCTTTCCTTCTGTCTGACAGGGTTGTGTTTTTTTTTTTCTTTTTGCCTGTCTATCTGGTCCATGTTTGTCTTTCTTTCTGTCTGAATGGTTTGTGTTTGTCTTTTTGTCTGAATGGTTCGTGTTTTTTTTTCTATCTGTCTATCTGGTTCATGTTTGTCTTTCTTTCTGTCTGAATGGTTTGTGTTTGTCTCTTTGTCTGAATGGTTCGTGTTTTTTCTTTCTGTCTCTCTGGTTCGTCTTTATTTCTTGTCTGTATGAATTGTCTTCATCTCTTTCTTTCTGTCTATCTGGTTCCTCGCTGTCTCCTGTCTACATTTGCTACTTTGTCTACCTACAGCATTTTCGTTCATTCTCTGCGGTCCGAATTCATGTTTGTTTATGTACCTGTGTGTGTTGCGTTGTTACTGGTGTCTTCGGGGATTCATTTCAGTTTCGGTAATTTGTTTTAGCCCCGCGGTCGAAGAAGTGGAACAAATTGAAGTACCTTGTTGACATCGTAACTTTTTAATTTCAAATTCATTATCTTTGCCTTCGCTATTGTCATTTTACACTTCGTTACTGTAACAAGCGTTGTCATCATTGCCATCGTTTTATTGCAGATGTTTCTTTCATTATTTTCAGTGCCATTGTCATTATCATTACGACATCTTCAATCTCTCTTTATTGGTTTCACTGGTATGAGCTGTGTATTACAAGGATTTTTTTTTTGGTCAGTTTGTCATTATCATTATTATCATGTAGATTATCTCGCTGTCACCTTCCAATTTATTATCCTCTTCTAATTGCTTGAAGTTTCACCAATACGTTTATCATAGCAACGATCCTCACTTACATAAGGTTTTTAATCTTGATATTGTTTGATCCTTTCTTCATGTTATTTTCACTACTATAATCAATCGAACTCTAATTACTCCTAGATCTATTAAGGTAGTTCTCCACATTCTCCTTTCAATCATGTTAACTCCCTCTTTGAATCTTCTCATGTTGACTTAGATCCCCTTCTAATTATGTGCTCTTTCCGTCCCCAGGTCAAGTCGCGAGCGATGCGGGGTCACTGACCTCCTCCCCCTCAGCGTCGACGTGCCGTGAAATCACCCAAGATGGCAGGGGAAGTCACGGGGTCACATACAAACCATTCGAACACGGCGGGATCAGAGCGCAGGCGCGACCAATCACAACCCTCGGCGAATAATAGGGACACGCTCCGAGCCAATGAGAACCCTCTTTTCATCTTGGAGAATGCATTCGTCGAATCAAACTGTTCGGATTTCATGGACCTGGCTTCGATGAACGGATCCTGTGGAAATTTCACGGTGGCTTCGAACTTCACCAATTCTACAACTATGGCGGGGGATTCGTACTACTTTTATGAG